GACTAAAATAAAAACTTGAGGGTTTAATGTTTGAAACAAGTTTTGCTACTTGTATATAAAAACTACAAATGAATCACAATATTAATTTGTTACACAATAGTTAAATGTAGTTGGTATGAGATGAAATGTTTCTCATGGTTTGTGACCGTTTAGGAACCGCTATAACTGATCTGATGTTTGCATTTCTGCAGGCGTGTACATCATCAACCTTAAGAAGACCTGGGAGAAACTGCTCTTGGCTGCTCGTGCCATTGTTGCCATCGAGAATCCAGCTGATGTTTGCGTTATCTCCTCCAGAAATACTGGCCAGGTGATTGACACTAGTTAATGACAGCAGCACATTAGAAAATCTAAAGAGCTTTTTACCAGGCACATTATTAAAAACCTGGCACTGCTGTCGGTGTTTGGGTGTTGGAAGTGTGCAAGAGTGACTTGGCCGGGATTTCGCTAACACCATGAGGGTTTTGCCCCATGACTGGGGTTTGATAGTAACCTGAGCCACAATATTTTACTCCTTCACTCGCACAGGATGTGTTTGTTAACATGACTGTTGATGATCTTAGTGATGTTAACGGTCACCATTCTTTCCTGTCAGAGAGCTGTGCTCAAGTTTGCCTCTGCCTCTGGCGCCACCACCTTCGCTGGTCGTTTCACTCCTGGAACCTTCACCAATCAGATTCAGGCTGCTTTCAGGGAGCCTCGCCTCCTGATCGTGACAGATCCTCGCGCTGACCACCAGCCGCTGACCGAAGCCTCTTACGTCAACATCCCAACCATTGCTCTCTGCAACACAGACTCCCCTCTGAGATACGTCGACATTGCCATCCCATGCAACAACAAGGTATGAATGAGAAACTAAACTCTTCATGCAAGTGGGGTCTTTTCTATGTGGTTTTAAGATTTTAGATGTCGTGTTTTAGGGTCCCCACTCTGTGGGTTTGATGTGGTGGATGTTGGCTAGAGAGGTGCTGAGGATGAGGGGCACCATCTCCAGGGAGCACCCATGGGAGGTCATGCCCGATCTGTACTTCTACAGAGATCCTGAGGAGGTATGATGCAGAATATTCTTATATTAATCACTTTTCTCGTCGTCCACCTATTCAGAATCAGTCCGAGAATTTCACATTTGTGAACCCTGTGGGTGAAAAACAGGCATCTACCCTTTTAAATCCAGACATGAGAAAGTTGTATAGGCCATACTTGACTTTTTGTCATGTGTACATTTAAAGAATGTATAGAGTTGTAAATATACAATTATTTTTTTCTAAGTTGAAATGTATAAAATGTTTGTATTGTTTGTTAAATTATGAATCTGTGTCTGCCATGTAAATAGCCCTTGAAGCTGAAATGGCTAATTTAAATACAACCAACCAATATTCAAAATCTGTTTCATATGACTTTATGCCATCTTTTAATTGTTCAGATGTGCTAATTATGCCACTGATTGTCTTTCCACCTCTAGATTGAGAAGGAAGAGCAGGCTGCAGCTGAGAAGGCTGTTGGTAAAGAGGAGTTCCAGGGTGAATGGACCGCTCCTGTGCCCGACTTCAACCAGCCTGAGGTTGCTGACTGGTCTGAAGGTGTTCAGGTTCCTTCTGTGCCCATCCAGCAGTTCCCAGCTGGCGTTGAGGGTAAGCTACTTCTAGTAGACTTATTTACCCACGTTATACACAGTGCAGTTTTGGAAATTCAATTTAGATCATTTTCAACTGAACGTGTGAAATTAGTGTGAACTCATCAACTCCTCTGAACTTTAGCTCCTGCCAAAGCTGCACCAGCTGAGGTGTTTGCAGGTAAGGGTTTCCTGCTTGGTAGCATGAAATGTAAAATGCAAAATAATGAAGTGTAACATTTGGTGTCATTTAGAATTTCTCTCTCTTCAACAGAGGACTGGAGTGCTCAGCC